AAACGTAGGCAGTCAGGGACCAATGCTTTAGGCATAGACCCACCATTTTGGCTCTTACTGAGACGAAACTTCCTGAACCTACCCTGTCTCAGGTTCGACAAGTTTGGGGGTGCAGACCTTGTCAATGGTTTACACTCCTAGCTGAAGGGACCTTAGGAGGAATTTGGGTTATTTGGACCCCCACACCACACTCCCTGCATTCTCACCTTGTTTCTAGATACTCTGTTTCCATCCTACTCTTAGGATCCTTGATGGTTTGCCCTGGAAATTTTCTACGGTCGATGGACCTAATTCGGATGCCGACACACCTCTTATGTGGGAAGAACTCAACCAGGTTACCCATCTGCCCCACCCTATTTGGTGTATAGGTGGGGACTTCAATGTAACAAGGTGGTCCCATGAGAGAAACACCTCCACTAGAATTACTTCGGCAATGATAGCTTTCTCCGACTTCATTGCCCTGGACAACTTGCTTGACCTTCCCTATTAAGGAACTCAGTTCACCTGGTCTAATCATTCTTCTAACCCTACCCTCTCTAAGCTTGACTGTTTCCTGATCTCTACAGGCTGGGACTCAACTTTCTTGGGACTCACTCTTTGGCTCTCCCTAAACCCACATCCGACCATTGTACCATACTTCTAGACTCCAAGCCTGTCGAGACTGGACCTAAACCTTTTAGGTTCGAGCTGGCATGGTTAGAAGAACCATCCCTTCTAAACCTATTTTCGAAATGGTGGCTATCTCTTTCCAATATGGTCGATGGTTGGGCAGGCTTGAAACTTCAACGCAAGTTGCAATTATTGAAGGCTCGCCTAAAATCTTGGAGCAGGGGTTTACCGGGGTTTTTAGGGCCATAGAAAACATCTACATTGCAAGCCATTAAGATCCTAGACTCGCTAGAAGAATCCAAACCTCTCTCGGGCTTAGAATTCACTCACAGAGACGAACTTGAGCTCCAATACCAAGCCATCCTCAAGAAAGAGGAAATTTTTTGGTATCACAGATCCAGGATTAAGTGGCTGAAGGCCAGGGATCTCAACACTAGCTTTTTCCACAGGAATTGCAAGCGCAAAGATAACACCATCACACACCTTTTGGTAGGTGAAAACCTTATGGATCAACCTCTTGAAATTGAGCAAGCCATCCTTGGCTATTTCCAAAACCTCATCTCTGCCCCCCTTGTTTCTCGGCCCCCCATGGGGGACATTGAGTTCCTAGTTCTACCTCTAGACAAAGTAATTTGGTTAGAGAGTCCCTTCTCAGAACTTGAAATCTTAGCCACCATTTCTGACCTTGACTCTAACAGGGCCCTTGGACTCGATACCTACCCCATTGCCCCTTTCAAACTGTTTTGGGGATCTTTCATAGAAGACTTTCTCAAACTTTTCGATGAATTCTTCTCTAGGGGAATCATCAATAGGGTCTTGAATACCACTTTCATTACGCTTATTCTCAAGATTGAAGGGGCAACCCATTTGAAAGAGTTCCGTCTTATAAGCTTGGTGAATTCCACCTACAAAATCCTAGCTAAAGTCCTAGCCTTTCGCCTCAAAGAGGTTCTCCCGTTAGTCATTTCTGCCTCCCAAAGTGCTTTTATCATAGACCGTCAAATCCTAGATGGGGCCCTTGTGGCCCATGAATGTATTCATTCCAGACATCTGGCCAACGCCCGTGGCATCGTAGTTAAGTTGGACTGGGAGAAGGCTTACGACTGCGTAGACTGGGACATCCTTGAAGATACTCAGTCCAGGATGGGTTTCGGTACAAAATGGAGAGCATGTTACTCACATCCTCGCGTCTCCATCCTCATCAATGGTACCTCCAACCCAAAGGATACTTCCCTTCTACCAGGGGCCTCATACAGGGAGACCCCCTATCTCCCTTCCTTTTCGCCATTGCAGCTGAGGTCTTTAGTAGGTCAATTTCCATAATGTTTACAGCCGGACGACTACATGGTTTCTCGGTTGGAATCTGGGCCCTCACGGTATCTCACCTCCAATACGCAGACGATACATTGGTATTTTGCAACACCACAACTGAAGAGATCCACAACCTCTTCCTGTTTCTTAGGTGCTTCGAATTTGCAACCGGCTTCAAAGTCAACTTCGACAAAACCAAGATGATGGGGGTTAATGTTGATTCAACTACCCTCTCCAATTTTGCCGAGAGATGGGTGCGAGGCTGAAGCCTTGCCATTTAAATACCTAGGATTGCCACTTTGCTTAGGCAAACCAGAATCGAGACTGTGGTCTCATATCATAGACGAAGTGGATTGTAGACTCGCAGGATGGAAAGGTCGCTTTCTCTCTCTGAAAGGAAGATTAAGTCTGATTAAAGCTATTCTGGCTAACATCCTGGTCTACCAAATGTCCATCTTCCACATGCCCGTGGCAATTAGCTCCAGAATCGAACAGTTAATGAGAAGGTTTTTCAGGTCTGGACAAACTCTACCAGTCTAGGCAAAGGGGAGGGCTAGGGATCAAGAATCTTAGACCTCAGAATTTGGCTCTCTTTGGCAAATGGCGCTGGCGCATGACGAATCTAAGGGATCAGCATTGCGTAGATATACTCGAGCATAAATACTCTCTCTCCAATGCACCGTGGCTACTGAACTGTACGACCAACCAAAGATCCTCCGGCATTTGGAGGCCGATTTGTTCAACCTTCCACTCTTTCAAATCCCGAATCAGATTCCATCCTAGATTGGGGAACCGTATCCTCTTCTGGCAAGGTTTGTGGTTAGGCCACACTCCTCTCAGGGACAGGTTCCTTGACCTCTATTCTCTGGGTCGAGATCAAGGGGCCACTATAGCGGATGAAATGCTCTTGGCCAGGTCCACTCGCTCGTGGAACCCAGTCTTTAGGAGGGCTCTTAACAACCCTGAGATAGAGAATTTCACAATTTTAGCGGCAGAACTTCACGCCTGCTTCCACAGGTCCCGATTGCATCATTTGGGCACCAGCACCCTCTAGCCTCTTCATAGTCTCCTTTTTCTTCCGGAGCCTTTCTCTACCTCGAACTTTCCCTTAGCTCCTGCTGCTATAGATGCTCAAGCCTGGGACTCGTTAAAATCAAGATCTTCATGTGGCTGGCTCTCCCTCTGGGAGTCCTCATTGTAGATCAATTGCAGAGAAGGGGTATCCTGATCCCTAACGGATGTGTCACGTGCCATGTAGCTGAGGAAATGAACAACCACCTACTATTGTACTGTCCCTTTGCCGTCAACCTAAGGGGGGCAATCCTTAAACTTTTCAATGTTCAGTGGGTATTATCGGAAGAGGTAATATCCCTTCTTTAAGCCATTAGAACTTATTGTTCGCCTAAGGTGGGGATCCTTCTTTGGAAATCCTCAGTGGCGGCCTCTTTATGGGCCCTATGGATCGAGCGCAACAACAGAACGTTCAGGGGGGAGTATGCCCCTTGGACCAAAGTTTTTGACAAGCTCAAGTCCACTATTATCTTCTGGGCAACCAACCATCGCTGTTTCAAAGGAATTCAAGCCTCGGCGTTCAGCCAGAATTGGTGCAATGTCCTCCAAGTCCATCGAGTCTGCCCAGGACCACTAGGTGGAAGCCCCCACTAGTGGACAACTCAAACTGAATTTTGACGGTTGCTCTATCGGGAACACCGGCTCGTCAGGAGGAGGAGCCATTCTTAGAGACCACCTCGGCTCTACATTGGCCACCGTCTCCAAACATATTGGCCACGCCAACTCTATGGAAGCCGAAGCTCTAGCACTGATGGAAGGCTTTATGCTCATAGAACCCCTCCACTTACAATCTCTAGTGGTGGAGGGTGACTCCAAGAATACCATTTCTTGGGCTCAGAGACATACTTCCTCTCCCCCCGCTGGTTCTTGGTACACTTGTTTGACGAGATCGATCACCTTTGTAGGAATATGTCCGTCGTGTGGATGCATACATGGAGGGAAGGAAACCAAGAAGCTGATACACTCGCCAAAGAAGCAGCAGCGATGGTGGACGACTGACAGTTTTTTGGGCTTTTGGTTTTTTGGCCTGTTTCTATTCCTTGATCTTTAGATCGACGTATTTTATTAGGTTGCTATGCCCCATTGTAAACTCCTAAAAAAGGACTCAATTGTACTTTTCGGTTATGTTCTCCCTTGAGCATCCTCTTCTTGTGGATCGCCAAGGCCTTTTGTACAACTCTATCACCTGCCTAAGTGATTTGTGATGTATTTCTTTCATTAGATGATATGTAAGTTGGTCTTGAACTTCTAGCCATTATTTAAACTCAGGAATAAGACTAGGGACTCCACCTAGTTGGCTTAGACGGGGCAAGTTTGTAAGTCTTGGACAAGTTCTTGCTAAACCTTACTTACTAGCTATCTCTCTCATTTCTTTTTTTTTTTGGTTTGGTTTTTTGGGTTAATTACGGTTGAGTTATGTTTCATTTGAGTCTGAAGAAATGAAGTTAGATCACCTGCCTAAGTGATTTGTGATGTATGACTTTCATTAGATGATCTGTAAGTTGGTCTTGAAATTCTAGCCATTGTTTAAACTCAGGAATGAGACTAGGGACTCTACCTAGTTGGCTCAGATTGTGCGCTACAGAGTTTGTAAGTCTTGGACAAGGTCTTGCTAAACCTTACTTCTAGCTAGCTCTCTCTCTCTCTCTCTC